GCTTGGTACTGTACCTGCTGCTGCTGCTTGGTACTGTACCTGCTGCTTCTGCTTGGTACTGTACCTGCTGCTTCTGCTTGGTACTGTACCTGCTGCTTCTGCTTGGTACTGTACCTGCTGCTGCTGCTGCTTGGTACTGTACCTGCTGCTGCTGTTGCTGCTGGCTGCTGGCTGCTGCTGCTGCTGCTGGCTGCTTGCTGCTGCTTGCTGCTGGCTGCTAGCTGCTGCTGGCTGCTTGCTGCTTGGTAGCTGCTGCTGCTGCTGCTTGGTAGCTGCTGCTGCTGTAGCTGCTGCCGCTGCTACTGCTTGGTGGCTGCTGCTGCTGCTGCTGCTTGGTAGCTGCTCCTGCTGCTGCTTGGTAGCTGCTGCTGCTGTAGCCGCTGCCGCTGCTGCTACTGCTTGGTGGCTGCTGCTGCTGCTTGGTGGCTGCTGCTGCTGCTGCTGCTGCTGCTTGGTGGCTGCTGCTGCTAGCTGCTGTTGATGCTGCTGCTGCTGCTTGGTAGCTGCTTCTGCTGCTGCTGCTTGGTAGCTGCTGCTGCTGCTTGGTAGCTGCTGCTTGGTAGCTGCTGCTGCTTGGTGGCTGCTGCTGATGATGCTGCTGCTGCTGCTTGGTAGCTGCGCTGCTGCCGTTGCTGGGGTGGTTGTGTGTTGCCGTGTTGGGGTCGTATTGGGGGGGCGCTGTTGGCACTCTCCTTTTCCCTTGGCCATGGCATGTTGCGATTCCCGGCCAGGCTTTTCCTGCCAAAGAGCCCCAGCGTTGTTTCTTTGCCTAGCTTTCGCCACCCCGCTCTGGGCCACAAGATTGTGAAAATCCAATGTAACGGACGGTGCAGTGCAGTGAACGGAATTGCAACTGATCAGCTGTTTCTTGACTTACAAAAGGCTCATTTTTGTTCCTGGCCCGGCGTAGGCTCAGCATAACCTTGCAAAGGCCTGTGCATAGAAACGAGAGTTCATGCCCAACCAGTAGCCCACCCACCCGATTCTGGTTAAAGCCAAAGTGCCTTGGTGTGATTGGCAGCTAACAGTGGGCTCTAACTTCTGGTCGGCTTGGCGCCTTCCATTGCAAGAGAGCTGTTTGACAGTGTAGGGGGAACCAGGATTTAATTTTCAACCTCGAGCTCATCGTGCACCACTTCAGCGATTGAGTAGGGGCAAGGAGCAAGTATAATAATACGCAATTGCTCGCCATGGCATCTGCTCGCGTAGGCATCCTGGCGTAGGCTCGACTAAGAGAAATGTTCCCGTGTAGGCAACCTTTTGCATGGCGTAGGCTATGTGTAGGCTGGTGCATAGGAACCTTTGCAGTGTGTACACTCCAAGCACAAAAAACACCTCATATATAACCGATCGTGTGTGTGAGCTGGATTGCGGATGTTCCTTGTTTGGCGGGGCTGTAAATCCGATAATTTCCCTGCGAATCCTATCCACTTCAGACCATTGTTCTCCAAGAGGGACATCGCCCCATTTCATCATATCTCTCAACCGAGACATTATACCACATCATCAGAGACTTCCAACTCCATCGGAGACTTCCCCCCCAAGACAAAAGGTAAAGCAGTCAAAAGATCTCCAAGCAAAGCCACTCTGGCTTGCAGGACTTGTGTTACTGCATACAAAGTGCAGTGCAAGCGCAAACTTGATCAGTTGGGAGCCCCAGGATGCCCCAGGATGCCCCAGCTGCCCCCAGTTGGTCCTAGTCCTAGTATTACAGTGCTCAGTGGTTCAGTGACACTCAGTACTTGAATGAAACAGATGTTCCTTTTCCTGTTGCCAGACTTTTGCACGTCGTGTTTTTTGACTGACACTCTGTCAGATAGCACCCGGAATTGGTCGAAAAAAAGTGTTCAAACACAGTTTGCTCCTGCGGATACCTTGATCTTATGTTTGACAACGCATGAAAATGCAAGTGGGTTATATATGATCTTACTTCTTTACTGGAGTATGGTCGGTCGGAGATGAGCAGAGCAAAACGAGTACTTTCCCAAATAGGTACACCATGTTCTTGTTGGTTCTCCAGTTTGACAACTTCAACCTGGGATATCATGTTGATTCCTGATTCCTGCTCACAATCCAAAGTCATGTTCCATTTTTGTTCCAAAAAATTGTGCGCAAAGGTTGCTGTTAAGTTTGGCATTATTTTTCTTGCATTGCTGTGGTCCCTCCATGAAACTAGTGAGCTCACGGAGAGGGAACACCTTGTGGCAGGTGGCACTGAGTTGCTGCGATTTGGACGCAGAGCTGCTACAGACACCGTGCAGTGACGCACCCGTACAAAGTTTGGGCAGAAAAGGATGAGCGACAATCAGGTCTTTGCGAACTGAAGCTGATGGAGGCACTTGGAAGTGGTATCGTTGCGTTCTTAAGGCCTAAAAGATGTAAAAGTGTCTAACCGTCTCAGCAGATGTGTTGTAGCTTAGTTGGTGTCCTCATGTTTCAATCCTTCGAACTGCTGCCGCTGCCTGCCCCATCTCCGAAGGTTAAATCGGCCCCATGACAGACACGACAAGTATTCAGTGTCTCGAAGATTTGAAATGCTATATCATGCTATATCTACTAGATGCTACTGTGACTGGTTCCGCAATAGTCAGCCACTGCTCCCTCGAAATCAGTTCCCGGAACACGCAGTCGAGCCAAACGAAACAAAAAGAGAACTTCTGAAGAACCCATTTGCGCCAAAGAAGCCATGGGCAGCGGAGCTGGCAAACACAAGTATGAGGCGAAGGCACCTCATCCGGCAGAGTGGTGTTCCACTATTTTTGTTACTTGAAAATATATCCAACCTAATAGCGATGGCCCCCACCCTAGTAACAATGGCATCCAACCTAATAGCGATGGCCTCCACCTTAGTAGCAATGGCCTCCAACCAAATAATGTCCATGGCCTCCAGCCTAGTAGCAATGGCCTCCAACCTAATAACGATTGCAGTAAGGTCGGGCAAAGGGAATGTCTAAACACCAACCTTTTGGTGACAGCCGTAGATCAAGATTCCTGCATGCATTGCATGTAGATCAAGATGAGGATGGATTAAGACTCCCTGCAGATCCTATGAGAAATCAATGAGAAATCAACGTCTTTGGGGGTCCGCAGGGAGGATGGTCGCAAGGCTGATTGATGATTGAAGAGTTCCTGTAGATCGAGGTGTCAGCAAAAAAAAAGACATCCCTTCCTTGCGCAGATGGGCCGCCCGGCGGCCACGGGTTCCGGTTCCGTGGCAACCAGGCCCCAAGCGGCGCCACGACGGTGATGGTCGAGCCCAAGGATGAGAATGCATCGCAACCAAAATTCATGCGCTCCCTCTCGCCTTTGCCAGAGGAGGTACGCAGAAACGCAGACGAGCGCCCTGGGCGCGGTGTCGTTGTTCCACACGTGCTGCCGATGTGTTTGTGTTGGTGAACATGTTGAAGCCATTTAAAGAAGCGCCATCGTCAAGACCGAGGCATGGATGTTACTGTATATCAAGACTATGGAATCGTACTCATATTTACCGCCACATATATGACATACCAAACCTAGACATACAGTACGACACACCCCAGTCACCCAAAGGGGAAACGGACTCAAGACTCAAGATGTTTTTCTCTTTGGCATGTTTGGTCAGATCTCTCCCCTACATCGATGGATTTCACGAACAATGCGCGGCGGACACCGCTTTCCAGTGTCGCGCCTCGCTGCCTCCGCTCAGCCTATGCTTCTGTGTGCGGACGTGGGTGGCACCAACACCCGCTTGCACCTCTTCAAAGTCCCGGACCGACTGGCAAAGCGGACGCCGGGCTCGGCCCCAAAAACACGAAACGCGGTGAGGGGCCTGCTTTTGGGGGGGCTTTACTTGGGGAAGATATGGGAAGATACAGTGACAAGTTGCCGTCTGGGTGAATCTCCTTTGGTTCCTGGACGGCAAATCCAAGATCACCTGCGAGATCATCTGAATGGTGTTCATTGTGTTCTGAAATGGGGAAGGCAGAATAATTTCATTTTATATAATAAGTACACCTCGAATAGTTGAGCAATAGACATATATGTTGGATCTCCTAAGTCTGTTGGGAATGTCAGCGACCAACAGAGAGGAGTCACACTTTTGGGCCGAGAGATCTGTTTTGGTGACTTTTTTCAGACACTTCGCCTAGGTACAGACTGCAGGCAACAGATGTGTTGTTGATTGGATGGAATTATATAGATCAAATCATCAAAGCCCGGATCCTGTCTTCCGCACAACCTGGACGCATGGGGATGTAAGTGTTGTTTTTTCTGCTGGCAGGATAGTGTAAAACCATATTTGATGAAGTGCGACAGATTTTGTCATGCATGCCTTCCTTCAAGCGTTGGTTTCTGGGTCTTGGAAACTAGAACATCGAACTCAAGAATTGGGGAGATTCTTGGCGCTTGCATTCCTAGCTACCTCACTCCTAAAAAGAACTGGGCATGCCTTATCCTTGGCGCAAGTTGTAGAGACACCTACTGACACCCCTTAAAAGTATTGGTGTAAGTGTAGGTGACAGTTGTTTTGCCGGATAGAACTGATAGAACTGGATTGAGAACTGAAATGGTTTCTGTTTCCAGCATCACACCTTGGACCATTTGTAGGAATTTGCTGAAAATGCATTGGGGAGAGGAGGGGCCATATAGCAGTATCAACCGAGCACGTACTGGTATCAACATTCTGTTCCATACTCGGTATACACCTGCAAGAACCATGAACCTGCTGTGTGAGCACCTCGCCATCAGTCATAAGCATGGGTGGGAGAATCAACACTTGTAGTGAGTGTGGTCACATGTTGTCAACCCACACGAATTCGGGGAGTCCTGCTGATCTGCAACATGGCCACTCGACGACTTGGCACGACCACGACAGTGCGCTGCAGGACACGACCACGGCTGTGGTTCCAGAATCCTGTATGGTGTACCAGGCCGTGTTCGAGATTGCTTGATGAGAAAGCCCTGTGCCGGTGGTTCCACTATTGACCACCAATACCGCTCAAAGAACTGGTGGACGAATCTACTTCGTCCATGAATCGGTGTGTACGTCGTGGTGAAACGAAAAAGCTCCTGTTCTCAAGAGGTCGAAGGCATGGAGAGGTGGGTACAGTAGGACCCAGGTTTGAACATGGATGTGAGCAGCCAAGATATGCCAGGCCAAGTATGCCAATGCACACTACGAGTCCTTCACCGAGGCAGGCTGAGCTGGACACTGCGACGCTGAAATCCGACTGTTGGCAAGGTGACAAGAGCGACACAGAGCGAAACCATCGAAAATCCTTGTTCCATCTATTCCTTTCATCGTCAGAAAAGCGGTGGCCTGTTAAATGCATTCAAGTCCGATAGTTCGGAACCATGGATCCTAAACCAAATCCTAACAAATCTATGAAGTACTCGTCCATGTCCGATTTGTTGGAAGGACACCGACAGAAACGCCCGTCCACCGGTCAAGTACCGTAGTGGTCGCCATTCCGGTCCGGCATCGTCGGACTCGGTGAAACACCCCGTTCCGGTCCAGGTGGCCATGGAATTTCTGAAATCGGCGAAACGCCATCATCAAGGGGGCGGTCTTGGCATGTTCCCGGGCCCAGATGTCGCGCGTGCGCAGGTCTGCAGGAGGAGTGCTGAAGTCTAGACTTTGAATCATGGGAGGTTTGATGCCAGGGAGAACACGAAGATCCGTGAATCTGAAGATCCGTAAATCTCAAAACATATATGACGGATCCATTTTCCGACACGTGCGACAGCCAAGCAGCGACCGGGTGTTGACTCCCACTCCTGGGCGCGGTCGGACAAGCTACAGGTCACAGATCCGACGAGCTATTGGTCGTCACTTCCGTGCTTTTTGTTTGGGGGAACCTGCTCACAACGAGTGGCATAAGATGGATGTCCAAAGCCAAACAGATGGAGTTCCACGAAAGAAGACTGACTTCAACAGTGATGAAATTTTATGTTTTCTATTTTTTTGCATGTTTTCACATGTTTTGATCGATCAATTTTCCACATTTTAAAACATATTTTCACATGTTAAAGCATTTTTTTCACATGTTTTCACATGTTTTCATTTTATTGTGTGTGTGTGTTTTTTTATGTCACTTTTTTTTTGGGGAAAACACCTCAAACACAACATGGTTAATCAAATTGTGTTTCTTGGGGAGAAGTTATCCTAAGAGCTGAACACAACTGACCGCAGCAGTCATATCACGCTCCAGTTTGCATGTGAAATTATGTTTTTGCATCTTTTTGCATATTTTTGCATATTTTCGAGATTTTTCGAGATTTTTTGAGTTGTTAACATGATTTTTCCTTTTATCCCCTCGAGATTTGTTGAGATATTTCGAGATGTTTCGAGAGTTTTTGAGATTTTTTCGAGATTTTTTGAGATGATTGTTGCTAAGATTTTCATTTAAACCATGTTTTTGCATTGTTTTGCATGTTAAATCTCTTATCGAGATTTTACATCTCTTTTGAAAGTCTTCCATTCCAAGACCTCTCCGCTGAAGTCATTGATTTTTTTTGGTGAGAACACAACCGATCACTTGCTGAATTGAAATGGGAGGGAACAGGTATGCAGATGAGAACAGGTATGCAGATGAGAACAGGTATGCTCAGTGAGCAACTAAGTAACCTGCAAGCAAACCACTTAAGACAGCTCAGATAGAATGGGTAAGCTTCAGTCATATACGAGTTTGTTTACTGTTGCTCACCAAAAGTGTGTAGTTTCTCAATGTTTCTCAGTAATAATTTGATGTCCTTGGGGGGAACAGTTAATGTACACCGAACACCCATGGGGAGCACTGGCATTGTGTTTCCTTTGACCGCCACAATGGGGCCCACAAACACTCGTTTTTGGCCTTCGATCAACATCGACACCATATCTTGTCAACCAATAGCGTGAACATTTCTCTTCCTTTCTCCCCAAGTCACCGACCACAAACCGAACGAAGACGCACGGCCGTTCAAGCAAGGTCCCCACCATACCTGGGATGCTTCGCAGTAGCCGGTGTGGTTGTGGACAACAAGCCGGAAGACCCGGTGTGCGCTCGGCTCGGCGTCACGGCGTCGAGCCGGGCTCTCGAGCGCATCGCCGGCATCGCTGGGCCACTGGGAGGACTTTTCGGGCGATTCCCTATGGAAAAACCATGAAACACATATTCCCTATGGATCCACATACCATTTGAGAAGGTGATTATTTATGTAGCTAGGCTTGGAGGGTCCAATTACCTTCTGAGAAGGTGGCAGTGGATCCATAGGGATTATTATATATGCTATTTTCAAGGCTTGGGTATTCCAGGCCACTTGCAAGAGCCAGCGACAGATGAAGTATGTATAATTTCATTTACTTCATGTGTCTTATATGTGGGTCAAATGCCAATGATTGGTGGAAACGAACCCCAACTTGCCTGGTAGAAGGGACAACAAATGCACTCGCAGTGGTTCAAAGGTCCTTTCTCTCCACCCAGCTTTGGACCTTTCGGTTTAGTTGGCTAAGAGCAGCCAAATCCAAGTTCCTCAGAAGGAGCGAATGCAATGGCCAGGGTAGAACAACACCATGGTTTCCAACAGCCAACAGACTACATATGGCTATATGGCTATATGGCCTATGTTCTGCGAGGATACAAAGATCACCTCCCCCCCTTGGGGGTCGCTTGCGGCCGTTTTCAAGGTGCGGGTCGCTTCTTTGCTGGACGTTCTCAGGTGTAACCTGGTGAATTTGGGCTGGAGAATGGATGGCAATGAGATCGCCAAGGACATCCTGACCTGGGCCGCGACCATGTTTCGGGCGATCACAGGTGGCGACAGAGCTGTTGCGTGGTTTGGGTCAGCCTCAGGTGCACCAGGAAGCAGGTGAACGAACCATGAGACTGAGTTGAAGATTCTACAGGTGTTCATCATGTTGTTGCATGTGTTTTTGATGCTCGGTTATGACACAAAAAAACACATAGCATCAGGTGTTTGCTCATGTGCAAAGATCCGTGAATCACATACCGCACATGCAGTGGATTTATGTTCGTTGAACTCCTGTTTGAAGCACTTGTTTACTAGTAGTAACAGGTGCATCGCTAGTAGTAACAAGGTTAGCTGCTGGTGAAAAAAATGCAACGCAAACAGGATCTCAAGATGAAAGTAATCTATTTGATGAATGATTTCGAGGCTCAAGGCCCGGATCGGAAGGTGTGAAGATCGGCACGGACGGACCAAGGGTGAAGAGGGCCGGCGGATGCACTCACACATATTGGAGTACTTAATGGATGTCGCCGGCCCGGTTGTGTTCTTTTCAAATTCTCTATGCTGCCAATGTTTTTTTTCGGGAATGAAGCACGCAAAGACATATTCTTGATTCAACAGGCATCTGAAGACTCGGTTTGTGATCCTCTTTTGAAGCAGCCATTGCTCCATTGCTTGAAGAACCGTTTCCATGTATCCAACAAAGACGGGAAGTGATGCAAATGGCCACCACGGTCCATTTCAAGACTTGTTTCACTATAGAAACTGGGATGTCCACTTCCACTTTGGAGGGAGGGCAACTGTTAATTCTTGGTAGGTACCAGGTACACATATCCCGTGTTAGACACTAGAAGAGTCGGGGCCCAGAGAAGTGTGGTTAATCATTACGCTTATATAATCCTTTATCCATAGCAGAGGAAATATTAAGAGCCTCTCAAGAGCATGGCGAAACTATGACTGCCTCATAGAGCCTCCAATAGCACATCCACCAAGAATTCATCCTTGCATCATCTCATTCTGTTCATCCTTTGCGTTTGTAGCAACAGTTTGGTACAACTTTGGAGTCTTCATCCTCCACCTTTTCTTTTTGAGCGTCCCCAGGCTATGGAATTTTGACCTTGGATCCGACGAAAGATTGCGATGTTCTGCAGGCGGTTCGCCACTCCCGGGGATCACGAAGGGTGTGGACGGATCACGAAAGCTCAGGGAACAGCTGCTCCGGTGGGGGGATTAGGTGCAGAGGCCGGTGAAGACTGGTGATAGAAGTGGGGGTGTCGGATGGTGGTGTTCCGACTCATCTTTGTTTCATGCAAAACGAAGCAGGAGATGAGCTCAGAGAGAAGATGTGACACTGTGACCCACATGTACAGACAAGCATCACACAACAAAGAGCGGATAAAGATTCGTCGGCGCAATAATGCTCGCATGGCCAGGAGGCACCGATTTTGCCCGGGGCACCCATTGCACTACTGGGTGCAGGTGGGATGTGCATTCTTCATCCGACACAACGAGTTACTGGGAAGAAACGAAACTGGCAGAACGAAGAAAAGGGGGATCTCGATGCGAACGATGCAGAACGAGGGAACTCCGTGCTGTCCGTGCTGCGCTGCGAAAGACGGGGATCGAAGACCGGACCGTTCGCCTTCTGAGACGGTGTGGACCCGCCCACCAGGCATGACCAGGCAACGAAAGAATGGAGTTTCCCTAGTTTTCCTTAGGTTTTTTTCACCAAACAGTGTGAACACACGAACGGGGTTCTGTCACGGTAGTAGTGGTTAAGCACCGGTGGGCGAACAAATCGAGGTGTCGCACACTGTTTGGGGTCTCAGTGCGAGAGTGCGAGATCGAATCATGTGGTTGCGGTCAGGCACTGGCTTGGGGCAGGCCTTCATGACCACTGGAGAGAATGGAGACTATGAGGTGGGGCAATGTGGAAGAAAGCAGGGAAGACTTGGAAAGCATAAAGCAATTACAAAGCAAAGGCAACAAAGCACATCATATGCCTCAAACAGATCTGAAACTACACGGAGCCTGCAGACCCCCAGGGTGGTACGTTTTTGCATGACTGACTGACATAGTATAGTTGGAAAACCTGACACGCAGCACCATGTGACGTGCCTGGTCTCTTTCCCGAATGCGTAGCGAAGGGTTCCCGTTTATAGTTGGGGGTCTGGGGGTTGGAGCTGTGTTTGCATGGCTTGCGTCGTGTCGTCGTCTCTCGTCGTCTCTCATCGTTTGTCGTCGTCTCTCGTCGTCGTCGCGTCTCAAATTTGCTGCCATTGGGGGAAGCTTTTGCAAGTGACTTTTCATGGATGTGTCACGTGTCAGTTTGCGCCGCTATTCCATTGTGATTTGCATGACACCGACATGTCGCGCAAGAAACGTGATGCATTTCGCTGCACAGGCGCAGCGTTTTGTGAGATCCGCAGTTTGCTGCGCAGTGCCATTGGGATTAGCGTTTGGAGAGTCGTGTTTTTGGGGTGTTGGATGTGGCCGTGCCATTGGGATTTGCGTTTCAGGGTGTGGCATCGAAGCTCGGTTTTCGTGACAAGTCTCAGCTGAAATGGCGATTTTGGTGGATGGGAGTGTGCTCTGAACGGGTCGAAATCATTCCAAACGTGTGGTGTGGTGCTTGTTGAAGCTCACATGC